GGCAACTGCTACTACTACTACTTATCTGTGGGAGAGTCTATTTTCAATAGAAATAGGTACGTTCTGGTATAACAACAATACAGTTTGATTTCCTTAAGAAATTTGCAGGATATTATATAGATTAATGTTATGAAAGAATTCTGTAATGTTGATTGTTTGGTTGATTTTGTTTAGCGACATATTAACCTCTATGAGTTATTTAATGCCAAAATCTAAATATTTTTAACAATATTTTATGGCTTTAACTAAATACATACTTTAAATAGGTATTGTTGGTAATGAAATAGGCTGGTTCTCAGTGTCATCTGACTTAGTCCTGGTCTGTCTTGTCTTGAAGTCAGAATGCTTGTCTGAATTTGCTTTTGTGTGTCAACCCCAATTTTTAGTTTGTGAATTTTTTGCCATTTCACTGTTAATTTGCCTTGCATATATTGTTTGCTTGCTTTAGATTAGTTTTTTTTCTTGCTATTGCTTATTTCAAACTTCTGCTTATGCCATTTCTGCATTTATTTAATCATGGTTACTCACTCTACAAATATGCGTATATATGATTGTTATTTATATGGTCATTCTAATATCTGAGTTGTAATTGTGATACAGCCAATTGTGATGCTGTTATAGTGGAACACACCTATTCTATAGTTAATAGACTCTCCCACCTATAATAAGTAGGAGTAGTAAGAGTAACAAGTCAGTCGGCAGTGAATTAGTCAGTCAGTTGATGTCGGATGACCGTTCGTCAGATATTAAAGTATCAGCCACCACAACTAGATTACTGCATCATTACCTATTATATCAAGTTCCTAACATTTTGTACGTTGAACCTTTTTTAGGACCGACTTAGTACAAATACAAGCCTTCACTGTGAAACCACTACATAACAGATGCAACTCATGAAAAGAGTCTATTCCTCACTGCTGAGTAACAAAAATACTTAAAAAAAAAAAAAATTTAGAAAGCCCATTAGCTGTGATAATTTGATCAAAATAACAAAGACCAAGATAACAGTCTGAATAATTCATTGATTAAAATCATAACCCTTATTACGAACTGTCTATTCCAGTGGTTCTAAACTTTTTTTACCCAAGGCACTCTTTTTCACCATCGGTCAGAATATCTCCCCACATTCAAAGATTGTCCGACTTATTCCTGATAACACGCATATGTCATACTACTTTAATCAAGATCTCTTTCTGATTCCCAGATACATATCACTAAACATGTCAACCAGATGTAAGTGCTGAGAAAGCAAAACCCAAAATAAAAAAAAAAGACATCTTTCGTGCAAGGGCTCCAAGCATCACATCTGGTGTACCAAACAAATCCCCGCAAAAATCTAAACTACAAAAGCTAATCACAAAAGTTGCTGCAAAAAAAATAAATAAATAAATAAAAATTAATTTTTTTAAAAATGTGTGTGTGTGTGGGGGGGGCTGGAAACTAGTACCTGTTAATCCACAGATATAAAAATGGTGTTCCTTGTAGACAACAGGCAGTTTGGCATAACAGCTCAACCTTCTTACATGAATGCTGGCCCATCCACACACCTCACTGGTGTCAATTTCAACCATGAAGATAGATGGATCAACCCTGCCCATGACACCCCATGCAGCTGCACTAATCCATTCCAGGCCTCTCTTGCCTGACACCAACTGTGACCTTGGTCAACCAACCCAACAAATTAGGAAGGTTATTCTTCAGCTGCTTTTGCCTTCAATATATCCTGGAAATATAAAATTCTCCAAGACCTTTTTTCTCATTATATGTCACAGAAATTTTAACTGTTTTTTATTCTTAGTACAAATATTGTTTTTGTTTCTATTTTCCTTAAAACTTTCTCATTGTTCACATCTTCTATTCTTGGGATTCTCAGCATCCTTCTGTAGTACCTCTCACTCTGATTTCATTAAAACATTTTTATATAATGAATTTTTGATTTGTCTTCCTTTCTTCTTTTTTGTATTTATTGAAATGACTGTGCCATTATGAATATCAGATGACATTATTTATTTCTGTCTGCTTCTGACTAACCAAATTCAAGGTCAAATGCATGTTTATTGAAATCCTAAAAAAATATAGAAAAAATCCTTTCTAAATTTTGAAACTCTTTTTTCCTAATTTTCCCTTAACAAAACATCAATGAGGGAGATGCTGACTTCTTGTGTGAAGTCTTTTTACAATGTACTCCTGGTTTCCTCTCCGTCACATCTTCTGAGCCTCAAGTAATAAATATGCCAATTCAAAGTCATCCTCAGTTTAGTTAGACTCCTATTCAGCCTCTTCATCTGCTAAGCAATCATCTTTCTTCTTTTACATTGTGTCTCTTCAGGATATGGCTGATCATGGCTCTCCACAACTTCTTATTCTTTGTAGTTATAAGCCATATCTGTCCTTTTATCTTCTCTACTGGTCTTTGCATAAGCTTGTTAAGAAGGTGACTCGATCTTTCCTGTTGCCCCTTTTGCCTTCAATACATCCTGAGAGTATTAAATTCTCTGAGCCTTTTTTCATATGTGCCCCAGAAATTTCAACAATCTCTTGGTACAAGTATTCTTTTTGAGTACATTTTTCTTAAAACTTCCTCATTGCTCACATCTTCTATCCATGTCATTCTCATCATCCTTCTGTAGAATAACATCTCTGTCATAAGGGATTTTTTTTAGAAGCAGTGTTAATTATTATTAAATTTTCGACTTCATCTTATTTCACATTTATTGCAATGTTCAAGTCATTTCTCTTTTTAAAGAAAATAAAAGTGGGAGGAACTAGAGATTAAATTTTCTGAAAAATTGCTTTTTTCTTTAAACAATATCTACTCAACTTTTTCATATACAAATCTATTTAATCTTTTGTCTGTCGAAATGCTTTTTTTTTTATTTGGTTGAGCTAGTTCAGACATTCATGAGTCTATCATGCCAATCATCCAAGGCATCCTGTGTCAATGGAGGTGGTTACTGGGTGACCAGCTCATTTTGCTCCAAGGTGAGATACCCAGAGCTGTAAATCACTCACAAGTTCTTGTTTTGCTTGCTATGAGACTCCTGAAAAGTGCATTCTGCATTCACATAATATTGTATAAATATCAGGGATGGGTCCATGGAGCTGTGATTTAGTTAGAAGAAATGTTAAATAGCTCTCAGCTCTGTAGCATTCATCAAGACTCTAGGGTTTGGGTTAATGCCCATGAAGTGGCACCATACATTAATGCAGCCTCTACAGTGGCTCTAAAGAATCTCTGTTTGAGGCTGTCTGGTAGATCAGATGTCCAGATTACATCCATTTTTTCAAGGTGGCCCAGGCTTTATATACGCAAATTTTCACATCCTTTTCTGTAGAATTTATTTCATTTTCTAGGTATATAAAAGATTTGACAGATTTTATTGATTCACCTGAGACAGTTTGTAGTGAGCTGTGCTGATTGAAGCCCATAAATTCAGTTTTAGAGGTATTGACAGAGTCAAACATTGTTAGCAGCATTTTCTAGATGATGTAGGAGAACTGTGACATGGGTAATGGTGTTTGGAGTGATAACTAGATCATCTGCATAGTCAATATCTGTGAACGGTTTTGCAGGATATTGAGTTGAGGGTATTGGTGATAGAATAAAACCTAGATGATGATGTTTATCAAGGGAAGTTCTCAATATGTAGTCTAGGGTGATAACAAAGAGAAAAGGTGCAAAGGCATAACACTGAAGGACCCTACTTTAAGGTTGAAAAAGCTAGTGTCTCTGTCTGGGTATAAATGCTACTTTTTATAGTGTTTAATTGTTAATTTATTCCTTTTGTAAATGAACAAGAAAGCAGTGACTATTTTTGTTTTTCAGCTCCTTGACTGTAAATTCTGATGTATTTTTAGCACCTTAAGTTTTATATCAAGCACAATGGTTTATGCACAAAATAGCAACTACACATCTTTTTTTCTAATCTGAAGACCGATATCAGCCAAGGCATCATTAAGGTAACAACTCTGCTGTTGCCATAGAAACTCCAGATGATGATGGGATTGAAGATTGGACAATTGCAAAAATTTCAATAAAATCTGATCAACCATGAAGCAAAGCTTATTAATGAGTTCACAAAGTCAGAATAAATATAAAAATGAGATGGAAAAGAGATGGAAAAAAAAGATCTTGTCATTTTTTTTTTATTTTTGTTTGGGGAAGTAAATATGAAAACAAATAAAAAAAAACCTTTCAATATCGGAATGAAAAGAAAAAATAGTCAGAAGAGTAATTTAAACTATTTTTAATGCTTCAGTGGTCGACTCAAAGAAAAACTGTTTTAGCAACTGAGACTTTAAAACATAATCATTCATTCAAAAAATTAGCAAAACAAAGTAAGACATTACAACACACACTTCTATTATACAAAGCTCAAAGTTTGTGTGTGTGTATGCAAATCTATACTCTAAAAGAAGAGCTCATTTTCTGTCCATCACACATGATGTGTACCTTTACAAACATGAATGTAAAGTATAAAGACACGGTGGAGTAATGGATAGTGGCTCGGATTGAGGAATCTGAGAGCTGAGTTTGAATTCCACTCAAGTTTGTTACATTTACTTACATGCCCTTAGGAAAGGTATGAATCAATGTCTTCTCCCCCCAGATATGGTTAAATAGTAGAATAGACCATGTCCTATAGCCTTGAGTGTCAACTGGTCTGGCAACAACTCGTGGATAACAGGAAAAGAGTAGAAGCCAGACCCTTTTAGTTATTTTCTTTTATGATTCTTGTATTTGAAATGAATAGATTTTCAAATAAATAGGGTATTTTAAAGGGACAAACAATTTAGATTTGAAAAGGGATCTTCATCTTTTCAATGAAATGACGTATATTGAACTAGTGTCAACTAAAACTATTACTTCAAATACAATTTAATAATTTATATTTACCTGAATATAAAGTAAATACGTAATGCAGGTAGGTTAAACAGTTTATGGAAAGAGAAATCAAAGTTTGTTAATTGACTTTCTTCAGAGCAAGAGTGACACAGACAGGGGCAGAAAATGGACAGACAGAGGTGGTTGGACAGACAGACAGAGGTAGGGGCAGGACAAGCAGACAGACACAGACAGACAGAGGTGGTTGGGCGGGCACGGAGAGACCGACAGAGGTGGTTGGGCGGGCAGACAAGAGGTGGTTGGGCGGGCAGACAGAGGTGGTTGGGCGGGCACGGACAGACAGACAGAGGTGGTTGGGCGGGCACGGACAGACAGACAGAGGTGGTTGGGCGGGCACGGACAGACAGACAGAGGTGGTTGGGCGGGCACGGACAGACCGACAGAGGTGGTTGGGCGGACAGACAGACAGAGGGGGTTAAAGGCACGGCACGACAGAGGTGGTTGGGCTGACGGACAGACAGACAGAGGTGGTTGGGCGGGCATGGACAGACAGTTTCATAGTAGTGAAGAGTGAAATAATATTCACTGAATGAGTATCTTGATAAAGATGAGGGGGCCAAGAAATGACAAATCATCGGATTAAATTTAATTAGTTCATTGCAAATTTTGTTTTCTTTTTGTACTAAAAGTTTTGTAACAATCAATGCCCCCCCCCCATGTAGTTGACCGTTACAAATGGCAAACATCAGTAAAATAAAGAAGTCAAAAAATAACAACAAACACAAAGACATTGGGAAAGATAAAAAGAAATGTGTGGGCGGAATTGATGAATGAATCGTTGGGTGCAGCTACTGTCTGGAAGAGATTGGAATTCTTAAAACCAGGAAGGAAAAAAAGATTTTGTTGTGAGAATCAAACAAAGCTTCATTGATTTTGTGTCTAAAACTGGATCAAGGAAAAAGCAGGTGAATCTGACAAGTGACTCAATTTTAATCACTCAATCTGCAGAATAATGGGGCGGGGCAGGGGGACTAAGATAAGCTGTGGGAGACACAACATCAACAGAATTTGTTCTGTGTGTGTGTGTGTGCTGCATGTGCCTATGAATGTGAAGAATTGGCAGCCTTGAGATGAAAATAAATCTAAAACTATTTGTGTGTATGTGTGTGTGTATATATATATATATATATATATATATTTAAATTTCTTTAAGAAAGGAATGGATTTTTTGTTTATTAATCTGACAGATTTTATTATTTAAACATCATTTTTTAGTGGATAATAATATTTAAGTAGACAGTAACAAGGTTTTAATGTTTATTCAGATCATCATCAGAAGAATAAAATAGAAAATTATTCGTGATGAGAGTAAACATAAAAATATGAAAAAAAAAAAAACTCCCTATATATCTTTCTTGAATATTAATTACTAGCAGCATGGCCCGTGCTTGATTCAAAAATCGTACAACTCATACAGCAAACGCTATCACTTGACTTAAAACATTTTTGCCCTTCCTTGCCTTTAAACGAGTGCCCTTTGCCATGCTGATGTTGCTACATGCCTTACTTCTTGCCTATCTCACACTGCAAATTTTTTCTAAGCTCTATACAAAACATTAAATCTGTTATGAAAAAAGAACTAAACAAATGAACACAAAACAAACCGCTTTAAAAAAGGACTCATAACTGGAAAAACTGAATAAAATGAAATACTTTTTCACACCCAACCCAGTTCTGCAGAATCAGAATCAATGTTAAGTTTAAGCAAGCGAATGAGCCAATTAGAGTAAAGTGCCATGCAGATTTAAATTTTTCCCACTTGTGACAAATGCAGCTATCGATTTTTTTTTTGCTAGTTAACATTTGTGTCAGTCAGCTGTTGGCTCTCATGCTGGCCAATAGAATCTTCCTGCCTATTCGTGGCAGCCAGCTATAGGCTCTCACTCTGGCCAGCACAAAATGGCCGCAAACTACATGAAAACTGCCATAGAAGCATGAAAAACTCAATATTTCCACTATCAATGGGAGCTGGGAAATACAAAGTCAGTCTTGTCCTTCCTGCTAACTTGGAGCATGTGCATGTAAATTTTGGTGCAAATCCATTGAAAATTGCGGCTGTGCATTCGTTACACACACACACACACATCCTGCCTTTTATAGATAGAGATTTACAAATAAGCTTTCTTTAAAGTAAATTATATCTGTCTTAGAATTCCCTCATTAACTATAGATGACAAAAATCCAGGGCACAGGTTAACAATTCCATAAAACTCAATAGCAGCACACTTAAGAATTTTCCATATAGGTTATTTTTTTTCTTTTAGTAAGTGTGGCATTCTTTAGATCAAACTTGTCGATGAATGCATTTTGGTGTATGACTAATGTATTTGTTAAATTGTTATATATAAGATCTTTTTTGTGTTCATAGATATGTTTTTTTAAATTTCTTAAAGATTTTCCTATAATATATTGTAAGGAACAGTTGTGACAGGTTATTTTATATATACCGGCTTCACAACTGCTATTGAGTCTCTTTCACTCTCTATCTCACACACACACATATATATATATATATATATATATATATATATATATATATATACATACATACATACACACACACACACACACACACACACACACACACACACACACTCCAGGGAAAAGACCACGGCATTGCCATCTTCAAAATGCAAGGACCAACTAGAAGCAACACTGAAAGCCACTGGTCTTGAGCCTAACTCATTTGAAAGACAAGCACAAACCATATCAATTGGTGATGTTCCATCACCATCAGAACCAAAACCTTGAAGCCACCAGAAGAAAAAAAAGGAAGAAGTCAAACGACATGACAAATTTGACAAAATTGATCTCACCTTCCACCAACATTACTATACAGTCAATACCATTGACTCTTCCATGCAAGAATTGGTTTGCTTAGTCCTCAAGGTCATCATCATAAAGGAAGCGATCCGAAAAGAAGAAATTAAATTCTTGGATATGAGATAAAGCTGATGAATATATATCTACTAACAATGCTCGGTTGAAAAAAAAACCTCAGATAGTACAACTTGTAAGTCTATCAAAGCAAATTGGTACCTGAGGGAAAAAATTGGAAGAAAAAAAAAGAAGAAAGAACTAGAAACATCTGAACAGGGTGAAAGAAAACATCCACTGCCTTACGTTTATAGTCCAAAGAAAAAACCCAAGTGAGTAATAAAGCTAAAATGTAGAGTGCTCAATATGCTAAGTAGAGAAGGGATAAATGAAATAAATCCTAAAGAGCCAGGAACAACCTACTGAGGTTTCAGCTAAACAGATCTTCAGGGTAAGCTGGTGACCCTGAAGATCAGTTTAGGTGAAACCTAGGTAGGTTGTTCCTGGCTCTTTTAGGATTTATTTCTTATATATATATATATATATATATATATATATATCATTTTTTCATTTCAGCTTTTGGAAGTAAAGTCTGATGATCCAGAACCCTGTTAAAGGGGTTATGGTGAAATAGCTTATTACATGGAATCTTAATGTGGTCTGTCTTTTATTCAAACATATATGCTCTGAATCTTACATTGAGCTCTCTGGATATCATCCTCCTCAGGTCTACCCATATGGATTACCCAAATTTGAATAAACTAATATATATATATATATATATATATATATATATATATATATATATATATATTTTTCAACTATCTGGGTAGTGTAGTAACAGAGAACAAAAACAAAGATGAATAGGAACAGCGAAAGTAGTTTTCCAGAAATTAAGCAAAGTATTAAGACACATAAATAGAAACAAAGAGTGCTTGAATGCAATGTAATCTTTAATTTCTGTGAATGCTGTCTAGTCTCTACACAGACAATATAAAAAGTATCTCACTTGTTGGTTATTGTGGCATGTGGGGGCTACCTTACTTTGCTCAATTCAACAGAAGTTGCAGAAATAATCAGTAGGGTACAACTGGAAATCCCTGAGGTTATAAAAGCCTTGACTGAGCCCTATTCAACTCTTTTTTATCTTTCCATTTCAGCAGACTCTCCCTTTGAGATACCTATATCAAAGAGCAAAATGCAACCCTTTCTGCAAAAGATGAGGCCTGTCTTGGCAGCTTGACATTAGATTTCTTGTTTCTCCCACAGGAACCAGCGGAGAAATCTTCAAAACACTCATCAAAGGAAACAACACTCAACCATTACTGCAAAAGATGAGGCCTGTCATAATAGTTTCACACTTGAATTTTTTGTTTCTCTCATGGGGACAAGTGGAGAAATCTCTCTCAACAAAAACAATTACTAAAAAAAATTGGAAGTTGTGAAGACCCATGATCACCTATTTAATGAGTTAGTGTGAATGGATGGAAGAAGAGGGAGAAAGAGATGGTAAAGGGGAAAACGTTAATCAGAATCAATGCATTTGTGTCTATGTGCAAGTGGCTAAATGGTAAACAGTGTGAAAGATGGAAATGCTAAACTAAGTTCAAACTCTGGCAGAAATATGGTGTGTTTCATTATGGCATTAGAACAATCAATTTGTTCAATCCCCACTCCTGGCACCAGCTATGAGTAAATTATCATGTTGACTTCCAGAGGTCAATTATGAAATCTGAGTTCAAATATTAACTTTATAATAGCCAACTTAAACAATAAAAACTTTTTAGGAGTTGATTTATAGCTTAAAATGGAATTTTTAAAATTGTCCTCATACTAAAAGTATCCCTGGTACGATCAAACTAAAGCTTTGATCATGTGACCACAAGAGGACGACCAACTATAAGCAGACATGAGCAGAAGGCAGTTTGACAAAGCTAAAGATAAATTATGGTGAAAGAGTGGATAATTGTTTACTTACCCTTGTACTAAAAAGGAATAAAACAAGATATCCTTAGACAAACTTGTTGAACTTGTATGAAAACAATTATCAGGTTTACTTGCTGTTAGTGTATTTGATAACAACCTTGGTTCCTTTAGAAACGGCATGTTTAGCCAATTATCTGGGCAAAAGAAAATGGACAGCGGTCTGAACTTCATGGCTGGTGTTGGTTGAACATTTATTGTAATGGGCCAGACGACTAGCTTCAGCAGCGATTCTCTCGAACAGATCATTGATAAAGCTGTTCATGATAGACATGGCTTTACTGGAAATGCCGGTATCAGGATGAACCTGTTTCATTACTTTGTAGATATTCGATTGAATAGGAGGAGACATGGTGGAGTAATGGATAGCAGCTCGGATTGAGCCAATTTTGAATTCTAGTTGACATTCACTAATACCCCTGGGAAAGATATAAACCCTCTTCTTCTCCCCCCAGCTACGAGTAAAATAGCAGGATAGACCAGGTTCTATAGCCTTAGATGGCAACTGGTCTACCACAGAAAGAAATGACAACCTATTGTGGGATAAAATCTGCCTTGTCAGTCATGTATTGAAAGATACATGATTGCCTAAGCGTGTATCACACATGGCACATAACTGACTGATCCCTAGATATGGTCAGCATGAGAACAATCTACCCATGTAGATTTAATAAATGGTTCAG